TTTCTAAATAAAAAAGTTCATGTTATTGTTATTAATAACAAAAAAAATAACAATAACTTTCTCATCCCTAGTTTTTTTCGAAAAAGTGACACTCGACTCCATCGGCTGATACAGTTTTGAAAAAACTTTTTATCTGATTGGTCTAAAAGTTTTACTGGTTATTATTTTCGATTTAATCGATCGTTGACTATAGGATCATTTCGGACTAATGAACACAGTCAATGTTACGAGTCTACTACAAACTAAAGTTTCCTACCAACAAGACAACATTAGAAAACAAAATCAAGGTAATACTCGAAATTTTTATTCATTGATCTATACTGAATTGTGTATAATATTGAGTCTCTTAGGAAGTATTTTACTCTAAATTATTGTCACTTTTGTATAATAGTCGATCGTCATACAAAAGGTTCTATTTTTTTACGATGAAAACAGATCTAACTAGATGACATCTGAGCTCCACTTAGAGTGTGAAATATCTTAAATTTCATTTTTGTGACATTACACAAATTAAAAAAAATTCTCAATATCTATCGAGTTAATGAAAATTTACTATTATCGCTGAAAATTGTTGATGAATTTATATCTAAACATGCTATGGTTATTATGAAGAAACACTCTCTCGAATTCGATTTATTTGATATTGAAAACTGCTGAGAAACAAACTAAATCATGTTTCACTATACATAATCTTTGCCTATTGTATTCGTTTATATTACTATTGACTATTTACTGTTTTTTTTTGTACAAGTCTGTGATACAAAAAAGAACTTTGATATTATCCACTCGCATTTTTTCCTGCACTATCACAGCAAATTCTATTACTACTAGTTTTCTATCGAGTTCTGATAATTAACAAAAAAAAAGATGTCAGCAACTGTCCATCGATCGATTATCAGTAGTACTGAAGATAATCAAGCATTGCCAAGATCAGCGCCAAGTCTTACTTCATTATATCGATATAATGAAAACAAAATTTCATAGATTATTTATAATATTTAGGCTTTACGTTAGGCGAACAAAACATCATTTAGAAATTAGGATAAAATTTGTAGATCTCAAATCACATTACAATGAGAATCAAATCGTTTCCGAGATCATCATGTCACAAAAAAAACAGTTTAGATGCAGAACTCTAGAAAGACAAAAAGGAATCTCGACTGATCGGTATAAAGTACTTTGCAATTTGAAAAATGTTTTTAATGAAATCTTGCAGTTACTGTAAAATTCGCCCTCAGAATAAGAAGCCGTGAATATCTATGATGGAAATTCACATAGTTCTTCGAAGATGATTTTCTATTCCGACCTAGGTTTATTAGAAAAGTCTTCTACTATTGACAGGAGTTCACTCAATATTACATATAAAAATATCTACAGATATATATAGTGACAATTTATGATTATATGTGTCTGCTATGCAAGCATTGTTCTTTGGCTATAATCTCTGCAAAAATTACATTAATCTTTATCATAAAACCTGTTATGAAAATGAACTATCCCGTACAATCTCGCATGATTTTATTGAAAGACTTAACAAGATCTTTAAAAAAAACCTATAAACTAATTGAAGCAAATTTTACAAGAGCTTTATACAGAAATCCTCTTTTTTAGTATTAGTCTTATAAATTATTTTCCAATAGAATAGAATCCTGTGAAGTCAAATTATTTGATTTTGACTATAGTTTGTTTTTTGTGCTAATATGCTAAAATATTTCTTGTTTATTTTTTTTCTCTTAAAATTTATTTATAAACCTATATAGTATATCTTTGTTCAATATATAACTTCTCAAGAATCAACTTATCACTATGTAAGAGTAAGAATATTTGATGATGTAATTCTACCCTTGTCGGAATTGAGTTTCGTAGTCCGATACAAGGCTCTACAATAACCCTTTAGTTATAATTATGGAAAAGTCAAAATGATACTTTTGTATATGTATCCTTTATAATAAAGTTTTGAATTGCTATCAACTTACAATTAAATCTTCAAGTGTTGCTCGAATTTTTGCATAACCTGCATGTTGTTTTCCACTATTATGTTCATCAAGACGACTTTGTATATCACCAACAATAAGGAATGATCCACAAACAGTACAAACTTCCATAGCTTTATTCATATCTGAATTTGCTTGTTCTTCAGCTAATTGCTAAAAAATTATATAATTTTAATTAAATAAAAAACAAAATAATTATTTAAAACTAACCGTTTCAAGTTTTTTCTTTTCTTCTCTCATTTCTTCACATTCATTTAAAACTTGTTGTGCTTCATCAATTCGACAATCATTTCCAAGTTGTTCTGATTTTAAAACATGTGATGTTATATTTTCTTCAAGAGATTTTATTCTATTAAGAGTTTCATTCTAAAAAAAGACTTCTTATTTCGATATATTTTCAATTCAAATTTTTTTTTAAATAAATTTCATTACCTTTACACTATGTGGATCATTATAAGCATTAGGATCACCTTGAGTTATACGTAGACGTTCTTGTCCACGTTTAATACGTCGTTCAACATCGGATATTAATGATTTAAGAAAACGTTCTGAGAAAAACAAAACATATTTTCAAAAAAAAAAATAATATAAAATATTTTACCATAATCATCTTCATAACCAAGTTTTCCATAACGTGAACTTTTTTGATACCTAAAAAAAAACAAAGTGAAAAATTATATTTTTAAATAAAATCATCTTTAACATACTCTTGTTGAAGACTAATATCATGAATTTTATCACAGGGTCCTAGAACAATACAACAAAAAAACAAAAAACGAATTTAAATTTTCAAAAAAAAGCTAAATTTTTATTAACCAAGATCTTGTCGAGTATTAACAAATAAATCATGTGGACAATAATCAACAAGCATATATTTACAAACCTAAAAAAGAAAAAATCAAAGTCCAAATAAATACAGCGTAACGTATTTATAAATGTTGTTCATACATTTGGATCATCAAAACGATATTTATGAATTTTTTCACCTTTTGCTGCATTACGACCTTTGCCCATTAATTCATCTAATAAAGATTGTTGTGCAGCTAGAGCCATGAAAAATAAATACTTGAACAACAATACTAAAAAGGAAGAATATTATTTTTTTCGCTTATTATTATTTTTTTTTCTCCTTTCTTTCCTGTTTCTTTATAACGACAACGAGGACCTTGGATAAATTATCCATCCACAGTTTTTTGCCATTCTTTTTAGCAAATCAAATATTTTATATTTACTTTAAAGATGGCGTTTATTTACAAGAACATGAATGGTTTAGAAATGTACCGCATAAAAACAATCCGTTCGTACATTGACCCTCAAGTTCGAAAATCAATATATAGACAATGTTTCATTTCCGTCTTGTCTTTACAAAAATGAAACTAAATTTTATCTCTGTTAATTAGACACCAAGATATTCTTTCGATTTTTGGTTGATTAAACAATTAATTAACATATGCGATTCAAATCGGATAAAAATCATCGATAATACGAATTAAATGTGTGGCACGGAAATTTATAAAAAAACTTCGGTATTTTTCTATTCTCAAAAATACTTTTACATTCATCATAGATATTTCTCTTCATATGTCTCTATACAAAAATTAAAATGTAAAATCTGAAAATTTGTTGTTCATAATCATTTCTTATAATATAAAAAAAAAAGAAGATTAGCTTATAATTGTTTTGTCTGATAGAGGGCACTTTTCAATCGTAAAACGATTTATAGATTGAATTTAAAAATAAAAAATTTTTATCATACAAAAATTTTTGATTAAAATTTAAATTAGACAAATTTCGTGAGAAAAAAAAGGTAAATTTCATGATTCATCAATCATCTGTTTGATCAAAATGAACACGTGAAAATGAACCAAAAAAAAAAAGATACTCGATGATATTCAAATCAACGGTTAACTTTTTCTTGTTAAAATTTTGATTGAAAATTTAGTTTAAATATTCCTAATGGAATCTTCATCTCATCTTTCATTAGAGACAAATCAATCTTCTATTCAAGGTTCGTATGAATAAAAACAAAAAACTCTTTAACAATCGAGATTTATCTTAAAAGTTAAACTTTTTTATAAGGTCATGAAAAAAGAAAACAGTGATCCGATAAACATGATTTTTTTTTTATTGAGAATGTCAGAACAAACCGTATAACTAATTGTGTAAGCGAAGAAAGTCTATTAATAATAACTACTCGAACAATAATATATAACTCGGATTCAAACACTAGAAATCCACAAGGAATATCGCCATCGATTGAATGATAAGATTCAACTAGAATTCGTTGGCTTAATCTTGAGCTCACGAGGGAACATTCCCAAGTGTCACATCGCTTTTGAGTCGAGAGTATGAGCATTATGTAGGTCCTAGTGATCTATGAACACCCTGAAAAAAGTTCGTGCCGCTAGCTTATTGGTGCCGAGATATTGCATTTTTACGGTATTCTTAAAAAATGAAAGCTGTGGTCCCCCTCAGGAACATCAGAAAACCTAATTTTCGAATTTCGATTTAGAACTTTGCAAAGAGATAGATCTTGATGGGAATAGTTTATTGTAAGAGTTTCAGATCTTTTGTTTTGGTTTTATCCTGAAACAAGAACGTCGAATCTGCCCATGTATAGGAGCGATTTTATAATAGCCGTATCTTAGGATATGAACATCTAAAAGCTCTGAAACTTTTACTATAAACTATTCTCATTAAGGCCTGGTTGTACGCAAAGTTTCAAGTGAAAACTCAAAACTCAGTTTTCTTGATGTTCTTGAGGGGGACCACGGCATTCTGCTTAAAAATAACTAGAAATGCAATATCTCGACACCAATAAGCTAGCGGCATGAACCTTTTTTAGGTTATTCATAGACTATTAGGGTCTACATGATGCTTATAGTATCGACTCAAAAGCGATGTGACACTTGGGAATGCTCCCTCGTCAGTCGAGTCTGAAAACTTTGCATCCGATGAACTTTAGCTACATGAAAAACGTGTTGAGTGCGCTAGTGACCGAATATTAAAAAAAACTGGAAAAAAAGTATCTCATATCTTCGGAATGACTATCCAATACGATTGACTAAGTCGAAAAATTTTGGGTTAATTCTCATGAGTACGCTTTAGTCATCGTAAATTATGCAAAACTTTCAAAGTACGATTCATACATTCGTCTCATTTCAAAGTTTATCTAGTGTCGAGAGTTGAGAGAGCGAGACCTATCCGCAAAATCGGGTTGGTCCCCACGAAGTTTGTGGTTATGGTACTATATATTATGTGTCTGTACCAGAGATGGACAAAGTCGCACCGCGCCTCCCCGCGCCGTTGCTCACGCCTACGCTACACTAGTCTGAGCTTCGATGAGCGCATGCTTGGAGCATCCCGGTATTCGGTGAAGTTTGAGAAACTGATTGGTAAAGCAAAGAGAAAGAGAGATGTGCGTAGCGCCTAGGCGCGAGCAGTGGCGCGGGGAAGCGCAGTGCGATTTTGTCCATCTCTGGTCTGTACTTTTAAAAATACATACTCGTTCATCTGCAATTTGCAATCGACTTTCTAGAAGAGAAAATCTAGTTAAAACACTGGTTTCCAATCTCAATAAAATCAGTTATGGTATGGCATTCTTTCATTCATTGGAAGTCGTTTTTCATTCTTAATATGCATAATCATCAGTGGACTTTAAACATACTCTTTAAAAAAAGTAAACTACTTTGAGATAGAAAAGCAATCATCATGAGTGATTCCTATTACAATTGTTTTATTTGTTTTAGGATGCTTAACACCTCCTCGATCACATACTACATATGAATCATCGTCAACTAATCTATCATTTTCTCAACTTTTTCATCAATCAAAAATTTTAACAAGTGCTGAATTAAAACGACGTTTTTCTCCTATAAAATCATCTATAAAAAAACGTCGACATAATTTTATTAGAAAAAATGATTGTATTGTACCATTAAAACAAAATCTTAATATGCCTGTAATATTAGAAAAATTATTTGATTATAAAGATGATTTATCAAATAAATCTATACATGAAGATGATTGTCTAGTTCCAATATTATGTTCAAATTATTCTCTTCTATCATCAAAAATAATTCATTCTCAACCTATATTTGATTGTTTTAAATCTAATTCATTTAAAACTAAACAAGAAAATTTCTTCTCAATATCGGAAACAACTATGAAACAAAAATTTCAAACATTATTACAAAAAAAATGATTTTTATATAATTCTTTTTTGTTTTGTTCTAATAGATTTATCTAGATGATTTCATGCATGTGTGTGTGTGTGATGTCTATTTTTGTTCCATTAGATTTGTCTTATATATATATATATTTTTTTTGTCATTCATATATTTTGATAAAAAAGAAAAAGGAAATCAAAAAAAACGAATATTCGATTTGATTTTATTTTTTGCTACTAAAACCAATTTTTTTTGTAATTGTCGAAAGGACGGAAAAAATTAAACGTAAAAAAATAATTAATATTCGATGAAATTTGAATGATTTAAAGAAGACAATTTTAACAATTAGAGCAATTGAAGTAAACCAGAGAAAATTTTGTAAACGTTTTAATCTAACAAATAAAAATGAGAATCATTCAATTTTTGTTTTATAAAATTTTTACCTTTGATTTCGTTTACGACATTGTGGCATATGAGCAAGATCTTCACGAAGTAAATATTGTTTAGCACCCAAACAATAAATATGCCAATAATGAGACCAATCAAGATCTCTGACATCAAAATTAAATGTCTAAATTTAGTAGTTTATATATTCTAATTCAAAATATATAGCATAAATATACTTGTCGATCAACTTCGCTCATTTCATTTTGTAAAAGAATACTATTATCATTTGGAAAAATCCATGAATGCGTAGTAAAAAAATCAAGTGTTCGGACATTTTTATAAATTTTATCACAGATTTTGGAAAAACTAAAACATTATCGAATAAAATTCTATATATCTATTATATTTATCTTACATTGGTTTTCGACCAATTAAACGCATATAACAATCAAGTATAAATGCAGGAAGTACTTCTTGTAAAAATCGAAGATAAAAATATCGAAATCTATTTAAATAAAGTTTATTAAACTATAATATTTTTTTATTTTTTTTTTATTTTACTTATTTTCAGTAAATTGTAAATGCGGACAACTAATTGCATTCTCCATACATATTGTATCAAGATGACCCAAGCCACATTCAATAATTTTACCCCATGTTAATGATCCCAAATGACCAGTACAACAATTATATACTGGAATAGTAGTGTTCGGGCTAGAAAAATAAAAAATTATTTATTCACATTTTTTTTTTTACAAAAAATATTATTTCAATTTTAGACAAAATAAACACGTTATGATTTGAGTTTTACGACAAGACTCTACGAATGATATACTTACTGTTTTATTCCTGTTTGCCATGCAATAGCAATCATCATGTTTACACAAATATCAACTGGAATAATATCAGCTTTTGCTTGAGTACTACCAATCATAGCTCGAAGCATGCCTTTGCCTGTCTAAATATTTAGAAAAAAAAATAATTTCATTAAAATTAATAAGACACTTTCCATACCGCTACAATCAATCCACTAGCACCATTATAATTATCAATCCAACCCTATTCAAAAACAACAAAATTCACACTACATTTTACTAATAAATATTTTTTTTTCTAAAATAAAATCTACAGGCATTGGTTCATGCCATGTACAACCAACAATCGACGGACGTATAATAGCTAATGGAAGATCTTTTCCATCTTGTGATATAACATATTCAGCAAGTGCTTTTGTAAATGTATATGTATTAGGTCTATCATTAATTATTTTATTTGTTAAAGCATCTAATACTTGATCATCCATCCATTCACTAGCTTCTACTATTTTTGATGGTTGAATAGGTGGTGGATAAATCATTTCAGCAACATTATTACGATTACAATTAGCATAAGCCGTTGATACATGAACAACAGACTTTGAAAAGAAAAAAAAAAAGACAGAGTCATATAAAATTCATCCTTGTGGGCTATCCTCAGTTTTCTACGAATCAGAACTTATCGAATGCAACATTTTTATTATGTTTTGTTTTATGCCATTGCAATGGGATGATTGATTAATAACATAAAAGTTGTTCGGAATGACTATGAGAAGTATTTAGTATTTTTGAGTACTTAAGATATTGTAAAAAATATTGAGCAGAACTAATCAAAGAATTATAGTGACGTTGGTAGCTGAAAGAATTTTCTATTATGATTTGTGAATATAAAATCTCCGATGAAACTACTTAGACGAAAAATCAGTTTCTTTTATTTAAGATATACTGTAAGATGAATAATTGTTTGTGATAATTTTCAATTTCAAATATTTTGTTTTGGAAAAAAAACAAACATAATTCTATATCTGAATCATATAGTTAGGATACAAATTTCTCTTCGTTAATAGCTTTACTGTCATTTTTCTTTTGTTGTTATATTTACTTGTAATTTCTTCATTTTATGACATAAAGCAAGCACTTTTATAACTGATGCAACATTCATTTGAACAGCTAGTCTAGAAAGAGAAAAAAAATAGTTTTTATATTTCTAATTCAATTTTGTTTTTTTTTTATATTTTTAAAATACCGAAGTGGTTCATGAAAACGAACAGTTGCTGCAGAATGAAAAACAATATGACAATTTTCAATTAATATACATTCATCTGTTGAACTAAGACCAAGATTTGGATCAAGTATATCACCTTGTAAAGCAATTATTTTTTTTTCAAAATTTGGATTAATAGTTCGTGCAATATTAAATAACTATAAATATAATTCAATGAATTTCTTTGATTAATATTTAAAAAAAAAAAACTTACAGGACTTTCTAATAATTCTTTTAATCGATCATTTACATTACGACCTCGTTTTGGTCGAACAAGAAGATAAATGTGTTCAAAATCTTAATTTAGATTCAAAAGAAAAACATAATAATAAAATATTTGATAACTTTTTTTTTTTTTTACCTGGACATGATCGAACAAGTTTTTCAACTAATTGTTTTCCAATAAATCCAGTTGCACCAGTAATAAATATTGATTTTCGCTTAAAAAATTCAGCAATTATGCTTGCTTCTGTACTTGCTGACATGATGTTAAATATCTGAATACTTAAAAACAAAGGTACTTATCACAAGATATTTTTCTGATTTTTTTCTTTTTGTTAATAATACACAAAAACGAAATGTAATGCTTAGAAATAATTCAAAGTTACAACATCATCACATTCAGATAGACAAAAGCATCAAACAATGCATGATTTGTTCTTTTTAATAGTAATAACAGCCTTAGAAACTGATCACAATGCATGAAAGACAACAACATTTAACATTCGAAATATATGCACAAAAAACAAAAAAAAAAAAAACTTTTCCATTTAATTAATTTCAAAACAGAAGAAAAAGAAAATACGTCCTAAAAGAAGTACAATACAAATATCGGTAATCGAACTAAGCAAAAACAAAAACACAAATAGTAAATATATTGATAATACTGAGAAAAAAAAACAGAGAGAGAAAATTTCTAGATTAATAATATCACATATCATGTGTATGAATATTGTTCATCCAAGTTTCGTTTTTTTTTTTTTCTAAATTTATTACAATTCACTAAAATAAAACCATCTACCAGAACTTACGAAATTTTTCTTTTGAACCAAAAAAAAAAGAAAAATTTAATGATTTCATTATTGATTATCTAGTAATTGAATAAAAAATAAATTGATTAATACTTCTAGGTCTTTTTTTTTACCGACGATTGTATCTTCCACTTGTCGATGGTGGTGTTAATCGTGTGCCACGATCTCGAAAACGAAATTCATGACCATTTGATCGTTCTACTGGTGGAAAATATCCATCCATATCAGGATCATAACGTCGTGAAAATGATGGATACATTGGCATTCCATGACGAAAGTATGTTGGTGGTGGCAATGCCGGTGATGAATATGGTGAACGAGACCTAAAGTTCCACATGAATCCAAATCCATCTTCATCATTTTTTTTTTTTATATCAATTATCCACAATTTCAAATAGCGTCCAGAACACAACCAAATCCCAAAGAAAATTTTTATATCTTACATCATGCATAGATACTTCGAGTTTTCATATTCTTTTTATCTATCCTATTTATCAATCTCCAGAAATTGTTACATATCCAAAAAGATATATTACGTAACACCAATTATATATGTATTATGAACCATATTATATAGATTTGTAGTCATTCAATATTAGTAACCAACTATACCTCGAATAGTGATTATAGTTTGATGATGGATATTGACCATAACCATTATCACGACGACGTGAAAAACGTCTTTCTGTCATTTGACCATCACATTCACGACTAAATTTCAATATAAAAAAAAAAACAGATTTATTTTCTAATATATTGTTATTTCTTTTTTGTAAAAGAATATGAAAAAAAAAACAAAGCTTACCTAAAATGTCCACGTTGTCCACATTTATAACAACGCATATTTGGATCATGACGATGAGAACGATTTCGAGTTCGTGGTCGAGCCCATGTTACTTTTAAACGATTATTTCCAAATGATCTGAATTCCAATAATAATTGTCTTGTTTAACCTTTTTTTTATTTATTTATTTATTTCATATCATACCTTCCATCCATACGATCGATAGCTTTTTGAGCATCTTCTTTATATTTATAAACAACAAATGCAAAACATGATGCACTAGCAACCCAAACTTCAAGTATTGTACCAAAACGTTGAAATGCTTTACGTATGTCACTTTCTTGTACACCTGGTGTTAATTCAGCAATATGAACACGATATTCATTTGTTCGTTCATCATTACTATCATGATCAGATAGAGGTGAACGTGAACGTGAATGTCGTGATGATGGTGTTGCACTTCGTGATCGTGGCATTTTTTTTTTCAATAATAGAAAAACAAGCTAATACTGAAATAAATACAATATTCATCTTTAGTAGATTTAATTATATATATAGATATATCGAACAGAGGCAAAAAAACAAAGGAAGCCAATGTCGAATTGTGATGTACACATACATACAAGGAAAAAGATAAGTTCACATTACAAATAACGTTGAAATGAAAGTGAAAAAAAAGAAACAACTAACAGATTATATATATATATAAATGACAAATAGTTTTCAGCAACAAAAAAAAAAAAAAATTATAGATCAATATAATTGTTCATAGATATAAATCAATTTTTTTAGATAATCATGTTCGAGGTGGACTAAAAATGTAAAAAAATATTATTATTTACAATAAATATTAATCTTTTCTTACAAATTTAAACTTTATACAATTAAAAATTAGCATTATGTAAAACAAAATGACATGACATGGAGAAAAAAAATCAATATGACTAGAAGTTTTATCTTCCACTGTAGGGGGGTGGGTATTAACTAAAAACAAAAGTACTTTCTGATGATTTACATAGACGTCTTTATTTCTCTTGTTAGCATTAGTCAGAAAATACAATTAGTAAGGATTAGAAACTAGAGATATGCACGCTACATTTTGTTATACCTTGACTGAGAAAAATTTTCTAATTCTTATCCTACTCTACTCTATTAATTTTTTCTATTATAAATTAGAAACATAAGAAATGCCTTTAGGTCAATGCACTTGCATAGTTTTCAATAATTCTAAATTGAATGAAAGTTTTGCACAGTCCTCTATACCGAACATCGATGTAGTATTAGTGTAATCGTTTCAAAACCAAACTTTATTGAAGACTAACATCATACTAGAAATAAGTATCGCATGACCTATATTTTAAATAAAAATACTTTTTAGATTATATTGATATTTTGAGATATGGTAAAGCTACAAAATCAAGTTTTCCTAATTCAAAAAACACATATCCGATTGATCTATGAAAAAAAAAAAAATACTCGATCCACCAAATCTTGAAAAATTTTCAGTTTTTTTTTAGTGGATTTCAGTGCTAGTAATGTATGGCCTGAACTGTAATAAGATTGTATGTTTTCTACTTGAATAATGAATATATCTTCATATTTCATTTACCTTGTATAATAACCAGATCGATTATCACGAGATTTGTAATGAGATGATGGTGATATTTGACGAGGACTAAAGAGAAAACAAAAAAAATTTGAAAATCTAATTCAATTATAATTTACCTATAACGATGATAGTCACGAATAACTCGAGGACGAGGTGATCGAGAACTAAAAAATTTCAAGAAAATATATAAAAAAAAACAAAAATTTCAAAATCATTTTATATTTACAAACCGAGATCGAGAATAGGATCGTTCACGACGACGATCATATGAATTAGATCTAAATAAATTATTCAAAAAAACAAAATTTTGTTTTCGAATAAATAAACAATTATTTAATTATTAAATAATCTCAAATATTTACCTTAATCTCATATTTTCAATGGAATATTACAAAAATCCATATCCATCTATTTTGAAATATTTATTTCAGTCAAAACCATATTAATAATTCCAATCTGATATATTCTATTGAGTTATTTCATCAATCCAAAATGTATCTTTCAATAGAAAGACTTACCGATATCCATTACCATTTCTTTTATAATTTCGTTGATTATTACCACAATCTCGACTAAAATGACCTCGAGAACCACATTGATAACATCGCCTTTAAATAAAAAAACAAAATAATTATCATTCGTATACGATTCTAATAACTTAATCTATTAGTAAATTACGTAGACATTTCAAAAGTTAAGATAACTTACAAGAGAAATCTCCTAAATTGGATAAATCACTTTTGATTGTGTATCATGTAGATCTAAGCAGAGTATAAATATTTTGAAAAGAGTTCGTGATTTTACCTTATGACAGTCTCTAGTGAATCACAATTTCTACTCTATATACTTCGACACTCATGTTTCACAAAGTAATATATCCTCAACAATAAGCTTAGAGCACGAACTTTTATCAGGACATTTATAGTTCATCAGAATCTACATAAAACATACAACTGTACCTGAAAAAGAGTTTTATGACTTAGAGGATTTGCTTCATGAGATCAATTTATATAGGTAGATCGAATTTGATGAACGTTATTCATCTTATAGAAATCTGCGAGTTGGGTTTATAATAAAAAAAAAACCTGAACGAGTATTATGCTATACTTGCAAAGATATGATAACTAGAGGCTAAACTCGCACAGTTTATCAACACTTTATAACTCAAGATTACAACTATATCAAACAATTTTGAAATTGATACTAATTTCAACGACTTTAGTAATATCTTAAGAATAAACAACGATTTTCTTCGTCTTACTTATAATACCAAAAAAAAAATATAAATTTAACAGTACCATATACTTCTCTCGTTCGTTTATTTAGTTAAATATAAATTCCGTACTTTACTTAATCGTTCTGTATGTATCCTAGCAACATTCTTGTTATTTTTATATGACTATAAAAACTACAGAATACAAAAAAAATGCTCCAATCTCATTGGTGACATAAAAATCTCCGAAATGATAACATGATTACTTTTCTATCTAAATAGACTAATTTTGATTGTCCTTGTATTTTTTTTTTTTAGTTTATTCTATTTTAATAATGAACGGAAAATTTCAATATGTACATACATATTTGGATCAAAATGTCGTCGTCCAGCACCACGTGTACGTGGTCGAGCTAATGAAACTCGTACTCGTGCATCACCAATATATCTAAATAAATAAAAAAATTTTTAATTTAAATAGAATTAATTAAAAGAAATATTTTCCTACTGGCCGTCAAGTTCATTGATGGCTTGTTGTCCATCATGACGATGACGCAAAACAACAAATGCAAAGCATGATGCTTGTGCATGCCATACTTCAATTAAAGACCATTTATCAAATGCTTTTTCAATTTCATGTTTTGTACAATTTGTTGAAAGATCTGCAACATGTATACGACAACCATTTTCTTCTTGACCATCATTATTATACGGTGAATGTGATTGTTCACGACGATAGGATGATGTCATCGGTGAACGAGAGCGAGATCGAGAGTATGGCATACTTGAATTCTATAAAATGTATAGAAAAAGAAGAAGAGAAAAGTTCATTCATATTATAAAATAAAGAATAAAACAATCAATCAAACTTTTATACGTTAAAATTCTCTGATTGGAGATTTTATTTAGTTATTAGAAAAATTCTAAAATAATAAGTTAATAATTATCATGTCAAATTTCATATTCTTCATAGTTAATATGAAAAAATTTAATTGAAAATTTTTTATAAGATTTCAATAGATGACGCCGTTATTGATCAGATAATTATTTTCTTCATTAATATAACTAAAAACACTCAAATTTCTATTGGTTACATCAGATATTTTATGAAATAGAACATCAATATTTTTTTAATTAATGTGTATTTCATCATAAGTTTTTATTGAATAATTATTTGTTATTGCAATACAAAGCATAAAAATTTATTTACTTTAATAAAAGTTTTGTTTATTTATTTTTTATTCGATAGATCGATCAAAACTTTACGTTTTTGTAAAGTAATCATCTGAATAACAGAATGACATAAAACGTTAAAATCCCACAGGATACATATTATTTTTTCGAATCCCAAATCCCATTTGTCCTATCCGGAATTTTTTTTCGTCTTGTTCCGTTTACCGAAAGATGTCGTTCTACTATAGTCCCATTTTATTTTCAAAATGTTTCACAAAACGTTTAAATTTTAGACTAGGCTTAACATGTTTTAGAAGACAGAGCCGACTATAGGACAAAATGGTTCTGTCGCCTGTCAGAATGAAGTAAGATAGCAAGACAGATCAAAAAAATTGCCCTTGGCGCAGGTCAGTTGTGTGTGTGCCTAGCAAGTGAACAAAGAACTGTTTGAACCCTAGTCGAGAATTCCTGGGGAGTCCCTGTCAAAATTTCCTGTGGAATCCCGACAGGAGTTTCCTATGGTTTTATGAGGGAGTCAAGAAGTCCTCAGAGATTTATGTGTGAGAATTAGCCAGGGATTCTCGAAAAGGGAAAGCTTTATACTTTAAAAATAGTCGCAAATTCAACTATTAGCAATAATGAATTTAGAAAATTTCAAAGTTATTTTTCATTTTTGAAGATTTTTAATGTCTAATATTTTTGAAAAAGCAATTTCTTCGAAAGATAAAACAACAAAAAATCCTATTGAACTGAAACTTTATGTAAATATTGTGAGATAGTTAGTTACAAATACAAGAAAATTTTAGATTTATATCTCGTTCTTAGAAATAGTTGAGTTTATTGTTACTGTAATACAGGCACACGGAAGATGTGTCACGGCACAATTATCGTTAATGACTTCCTTCATTCAATTGTGAAAAATGCACATGACTTATTGCTGTTGCAATCTTAGATTGATCTTTCTAATTGTAGATTATACGACATTTTAACAACTTCCCAATTATCAGTAAAAAACATTCAGTTCTCAAAGTAGTAATATCATTTTTATAGAATATTGAAAAGCCTACCGAATGATATATATAGTGCAAAAAAGGACCATTGTTGTAATGGTTTCATAGGAAGATAATTTTGTCAGTATTATCCTCATATTCTATATATGAGTAATTTGCATTATCTAAAGAACCACAGAAATAAACAATATACCATTTTCGTTTGAAACAAAATTGAAGATACAAGGAAAACTTTTCATAGAAATATTGTATAGCATAAACCTATAAATGATAGATAATATCAAGTTTTGAGTGAGTCGCACAAAGTCAGAATGAGATTTAATTCGAACGACCATTGACTCCTGACATCTGAATTGACTATTAAAAAAAACAAGCGAAACTCAAATATTGAGTAGGGTCCTATTTCATTCTTTAATGAGAGCTCTCATTTCATAGGTAATCTTTCGTAGCAATCGTCTATTTTAATGCAATAACTTGTACGTCATCGGCCAAATTTAGTATACTATGCTATCAAATACATAAGTGTAATTATTAAGTGCATTCGTTGGGTTTTTTCCAACTTGGAAAATCTATTTGCGCAGAAAAGAAGGAAGAAAATTTTCTCGGTCATTTGATATTTTCTTACCTACATAGAAGAAAAAAGAAGAAATTACATATACTTGTTTTTCTTTTGCATCAACAACACAATGGTCGATAATTCCCTATTATCTGAAGGTACTACACCATATTATACAGATGAACGTGATTTTGGTCGTTTTTCTGATCATGTTACTGTTTGGATTGATAAATATATTGGTGAGGAAAATACCTATGGAAATTTCAAAGAAAAATTTGATAATAATATTCAAGTACTTCAATCAAATAATGTAAATGAAATGGAAATTGATGATGATGCTATGTTATGTGCTAATCCAGATATGCTTAAAAAATTAACTCATGATGTTTATTGTTTAAAATATTTTTCTACAATTGAAAAAGGTTTAGAATATATTCATAAAAATTCTGATAAGAAAATTTTCTTTATATCATCTGGTACAATTGGAAAAATTATTGTACCACAAATAGCAAATTTATCACAAATTCAAGGTATTTATATTTTTTGTGGTAATATTTCACGTCATACAGAATGGGCTGGTGAATATGTTGATAAAATAGTAGCAATGCTTGAACATCAAGATAATTTATTAGAACGTCTTACACGAGATATTGCTGAATATGTAGAAAAAAAAGGTGATGAATATAAAACTAATGATAAAATATTACAAGCACGAAATTGTTATGCATGGTCAAAAAAATTATTAATTAGAGGACAATTATTAGGTGATATTGGTACAAAAAAATTAATTGATAAAATTACAAAAAAAATTGATGAAGTACAATCTTCAGCAGAATGTCATAGTTAAAATTGAAAATAATTATATAGAATAAAAATCTTACAGATATATATTATTAAATCATTTGTTTTGTTTTCCGTGTTTGTTTTGTAAAACATATCAACTAAATACACATATAAGTATATCAGAAAATGTTTGTATGAGGAAAAAAATAATGACAATTTTGTCTTTTTAGTAGAAGAAGTAAGAAAGATTAGAATCGTAAACTTCTGTGTTTTCTTCTTTCGTATAGTTATTAATCTAGATCAAATATTTCATGACTCGTATTTAAGCTTATGTAATTGTTTAAGAATCAAATGAAAACGTATGAGTATTCATTGTGTCTGAAAAACTTACATCAAATCTTAAGATATGATTCTTATACAGTACATACAATACAATCGTATAAGAATCATACATTAAGATTTAATATAAGTTTTACAATCACTATAATTTCTTGTACATTTTTTCATATGAGCTACAAGATCTTATGTTCGAGTTTTTTCATCTTCACCTCATATTCTTTACATAAATTTTTACTATTATTTTAATTATTCTATATAACTTTGATTTCTTAGATGTAGCTAGCAGTGACTTTTATTTACTTAATCTAAAGTTTTTGCTTAATATAAATAGAAAATTTATTTTTAACACATCCGTTCACTAATCTTTCTTTTACTTCCGACATTTCATTTTACACATTTTTGCATTTCTGCTTGTTTTTTATCCCGTTACGTTTACATAAAATTTTCATTGGACTATTTTTCATTCTATAATACAAAGAAAATCTCATTTTAAACAAATGTATCCTTGTTATTCTGTAGACAGTCAAACATACGCTTTCGTTTTCTTTTTCATGTACCCTTGATATACACAACGTTGAAAACAAGGAAGAAAGAGAAAAATATTTTTGTGTTCTTTAACAATACTTGGTTTTTTCCATGTCCATTACGTTATAAGACTGTAAAGAATCGCTTAATCTCTTACTTTTTCTTTTTATTTCTATTAAGATAAAAAAAAAGACAAAACAATAGTGAAAATATTACTCAAAAAAGAAAAAAAACAATTACAATAATAATAATAAACAAATTTTTTTTCTTGTAGACTAATTAACAATGTCCGATACACCTCCACAAAAACCCAAAATCCCACATATGAGCCATTTACAATCGGAACCTATTCCAATGTCCTTTGCATCGCCGCAATTTTTGGCTCAAGTTACAGCTGGAACAGCTAATCTTTTTCCTAATTCACAAATGAAAACAACAAGTCAAGCATATATGCCCATGGCAAGTTCAGGATATGATAAAATGCATGCAACTTTTCAACCACAATCTGCATCACAAATAAATAAGAATAGTAATGCTGCTTCTTCATCAGCATCATCTTCTGATACAAAATTATTAAAACCATTACCTCCACAACCTATTGATGCAGCTACATTTAAAGGTTTTAAATTTGTAACACTTGATGGTTTACAAGTTGAAACACGAGAAGTATATGATAAAATTAGTGGAACATTTCAATGGGAAATGTGTGAAAGTCAAGATGAACGATGTATTAATTTCATACGTAATGAATGTGAAAATAAACGAGTATTTCTTGTATCATCTGGTGGACTTGGACAAAAAGTTGTTCCAGAAGTTCATGATTTACCACAAGTTTATGCTATATATATTTATTGTGCAAATGTAAAATTTCATGAATCATGGGCAAAAAAATATGCGAAAGTACGTGTTGTTTGTGATAATGATGATCTTTATTTATTACCACAATTTGCTGTTGATGTTGCACAAGCAAATATTGATTGGGGTAATGGTTTACTTCAACAAGGTACACGTGATAAAGCAAAAGAAAAATTTAAATTAGCATCTGATAAATTAAATAATTATGCTCGAAATCATGATCCAGCTATGGATGTTGAAATTCAAAATAAATTAGAAGAATGTAAATAATCACAAAAAAGAAAACAATAATATAATATATAGAACTCTACTATAAGAAAGAAAGAAAGAAAAGAAAAGAACAGTTCAATCTCGTTTGACTTTGACATTTTGTACGTTTTCATTTTTCACATAAGAATAAAAATCCAGAATAATTATATATACATATAGAAATCTAGATAAATATGATTAAAGAAATGAAATCAAAATCATCTACATGTACTTCAAAAAAGAATTTTCAAGATTCTTATGGTATATAATATTTATTGTGACATTTTCAATTTAATCTGTTTAGCTACTGATTCGTAACAGTAGAATTATAATAAAGAACTGATAGAATTGATGTCTATCATTTTGAACTAGCAATATTGACCTTCTCAGATCGATCGTGTACGGCCGGAATACGTCGGAAAATGGTCGAAACTGGGTAGCAGTAATCCTGTGACCGGATCCAATGACCTGGATTTCCCGGTTAGAGACCGTTCCGACAGAAACCGCAAAAATCTGGTTACCGGATCCGGACACATGATTACTGCCACCCGGATTCGATCATTTTCCGACGTATTCTGGTCGTAAACGGTGTTTTTTCCGATGGGTGCCGACGGGAAACTCACGAAATCGGGCGCCGGAATTATTGACCTGGGTTAATAATGAAATATATTACTGATCGAAAGTATTTCGTTGTAATCTTAAGACTACGTTTTTGAAATTTTTATCATATGTACTATCATAAAGATGCAGACCGCCAAGACCAATCTGATCTGATCGGGTGCGTTAAAGAGGAGTTATAATGTGAGACAGTTGGTCTCATTATGGATTTTATAATTTAAAAAGCGAAGAAACTTACGATCTGGTCAACCAATCGTTATGTAAAATAGTCGTATTAAAAGACTACACAATGACAGGTTCATCAATTCATAAGTTATAGGACTCACAATGAGAAAAGTTGTCATAGATCATAGTTTATCTTCAATTCAAGTGAACCAAACACACTAATTGCACTGACTTACATTTCTAACGTAGCATACACACTACCTATTTCACCAATTGAGCCTTAAGATTGGTTGCAGTCGCAGGATGAGATATTTTTGATCAATAGAATATTTCTTCATTGAGGTGAATAATGATATTTTCACAAAGTATTTATTTGATGATTTCGTCGAAAATTTCTTCTATTGCCTCTTTATTTATCGATCACTCTGTATAATCACATAGTCATATTTTCAATTATGATCAGTATTGTTTTGAGGCTGTTGGAAGCGCACTTGACTAGTATTATATCATCCATGTGTTCATTCTTTAGAGCTATTTTATCAAGTTAATATTCTTTATCTGATACTATGATAATTGGTTGTATGATATGTTAACCTAAACTTATCCTGAAGTAGCATACAAGGTGAATGGTTTAGGGCATACGGAAGATCCTCATCCACACATATTCGCAACAAAATGTCCGATCATCTCTTTATCTAGTTAAGAGATAAAGCTTTCAGATACTTTTTATATTTCTGTTAAAATAACATTGAAAATTCAAATCTAAGTTTCTTTATATAGGTTTTGTCTTTTAGAAAATTCTCATCACCTTTTCTTCCATTCTATCAAATAGTTCATAGTGTTCTATCTATAACTATGGCTGCATTATTTATATTTATAAAAGAACTTAATAAATGACAACTGAACTTTGAAGTTCTTCCAGATTAAAAATTTTACTCATGTATCAACATGACCAAACAACTCTTCTCAAATTTATATAGACTTTATCTCAAACATTTTTCTATTGGATTAACTTGGTATATCGTACTACGTGATTAGATTACAATATTTGAAATATAAATGAAGTTAAAAGTAAAGAACATCACTGTAAGTTCCCATGTTTTCTTTTTACACATATTACTTAAAACTATGTGATAGATAATAAGTTATTGCTTTGAAGTATGTTCAAAGTAGGGAACTGCAAAGTGGTCCCAGTCCCACCGGGACCGGGACCGAGACTAAGAATTTTTCACACTGGTCCCGGTCAGTTTTTTATGCAATATATTTTCAGGTTTATTATTTCAACATGATTAAAGATCTGTAAATCAGATATTTTTATTTACTATTTCTATAAAAGTCTTTACTTATTACGAGTTGTAATTTGAATTCTTTAGTTTTTCTATTGCACTTGACTATATTTGAGAACGAACTTTAATACTTGTTGAATATGAAAAATATATATACAAACTCACATTCAATCTTGTGGAAAATCATTCCGAGACTTATTCAAAAAATACTAGTTTCAGTTCTTTCGATCTGTATTTTGACATATGAGACTGATTCTTGAAGTAACACCAACTCAAAGACACTTGTATCGATTTTATATACATTCAACTTTAACACTGGATATAAAAGAAGTCTCGTACTGTTAACGAATCAAAATCATTTATATCAATTTTATGTATTCATAAAAGTACACAGATCGTAAAAAAAGTTGCACGATTTTAGAAATGAAGCCATTGTCAAAGACCGGGACTAAAAAAAAGCGATTTTTCAGATCCCTAGTTCAAAGATATATTTCAAGTGGAAATGAAAACAACAAACTTTTTATTTTATTATAATTAACGCGTTTCAAATTATTGACAATTTATTATTTCAGGATATTAACAGACCGACCTTAGTAAACTGGACTAAACGTAAATGCATATTTCGTTTCATTTACTATTCATACAAAATACTTATTCATATATTAAGAGCTAGAAGCCTATGAACTTTACATTTGAAAAGATTTGTTTGCCGTTTCACAGAAATAAAACAAAGAACTTTCTATCAAAAGATAAAATACTTCGTCTACTATTTGGCTGATCTACTTTCAAATATCCAAGCTTTTCTAAAGAATTAATAATCTTTTGGAAGTATTTTCATGTTGACTTCTGAAACAATGAGATTTTATCAAGTTAAATTTCAATTGTTAAGTATCTATTCTGGAACCAAAACAAAATACAAATTTTCGTTCTCCATAAGACTACACGACTGGAAGGGTGTGGATATTGATTACCAAATTACATTGGTGGAAAATGATGATACAATTATTGCTTGTGAACCATCTAAATTACCCGATGACGATACTAGTCGAGTTTATTAAACTGTATCCTTTGAATACTAAAAATTGAATCTAAACGTATATATAATCTTTAAAAGTTGCATAGTCAAAGCGCAAATTAGTTGATCGGCTTGTATGTTTGCCTTCAATGTCTAGAGAAGACATTGTTTTGTATGTTTTTTTCGCGCTATAGACTATCTGAATTTATCTAAAGCGCGGAAATTTTTTGAAAATATCGATTTACAAAAAAAATATTGATTCCTTTTTTTTTTTAAATTTCCTATTCTATTTATTGTCAATTGTTTTTTTTTGCTATTAAATATTATTAAAATATTGGTATTATACGGTTAAAAGAATGGAAGGATACTCTCTTCTCATCGTATAAGATGTTAAGCAACGTATATCAAAAGTTTAGTCTAATTCTGATTCTCTATTCGTCTTAAAGCAGATAAACAAGTAGAAACTTTTTGTTTTCTGTAAACGATTGAAAAGCACTATAAGTAGAATTAGGATTACATTAAAGCATAAGTTTTCTGCATGTGTGAGGTAACCAGCTATTCGTATTATAATAAAAATCAAAATTCCACGATTTTCAGCAAAATTTATAACGATACTGTTCAATCCATAATATTGTTGTTGTTTATACAAAATTATTTATAAAGTTCGTAAGCTTGCTTGTCCTCTCGTACTTCACAATCGTAACAACTAAATGGGCAACTAACCACAATTACAGATTTGAAATTGTCCAAGGAAAAGAAGAAAAAACGATCTATTGATAAAGCATAACGATCAATAGTGACATTATTCAAATAGATATAGCGACAACATCAAATCTGATGAATTGCATTTCGAATAATGTAGTATATAACAGAAAGAAGCCTGTTAAAAAGGTAACAAAAAAATATACAGCTTTTCGAGTTCTACGAGAGAGCATATATGAAAAATTAGAAACATAAATTGTATTAAGCTGCACATGACTATGAATGTGCGCGAAAATCTTTTTTGTTTATCTACACCAACATTCATAACCTGAAGCCAGAAATCAAGCTTAGCATATTTAACAAATAAATGCATTCACTAGGAATCATATTATTAGAATTCGCTCATTTTTCTATCATCTTTTTCTGAAGCACGTATCAGTGATTTGTCAATCCGGTTCAATACCGATATAAATTTCAGAATTGTTGGACTACTCCTAGATTGATTGGTTTAAGCAGGTTGATATTATTCCCAATCGTCTGAATCACAAATCGATTCCATCTATGGATTTTGCTATGTCTCATCTGTTGTGGTAGTCATTTATAAATAATTTGCACAGAGAATATACATTGAGAAGCAAAGTTTTCAGATTTTCGAAAACATAGTTGAATAGGACATTCTTATACTCAATGTATTCAACGCTAGATTTTATGAATCGCTTTCGTCAAACTACGTGGCACAAATTATTCAAGAATTAGTTTTATGTTGATTGAACATGACCTGATTTTTTTTCCTGCCAATGATCTATATTGGAAAAAAAAATCAGGAACTAGCCTTTAGTAAATTTGTTTTAGTCTTTATTATATTTATCAATCGCACTAGTTCAATAATAAATACTCATTGATCAAATAATAAGAACGCAAAAGACCACAAATCAGTCTATGACGATGTTTTATGAACAATTATATGGAATTTTATATCAGTCATTGAGATTCACAGAAAAAAAAGAACCAGCGTCAGATAGTATTACGTTTTCTCTCTTCGATTCTACAATTTTTTTGATTATCACTGCTAAATCATAAGTCTTTTTTCAAATGACAAATTCAATAGAATTTTATTTTAGACAATTTGATAAAAACATAAATAGTTTGTAGTACATCAGATGTATAGAAAAGCATTTCAAAGACAAGCAGATAACGTACAAAATATCAGAATTAATCATAGATACAACAAAATCATTCTTTATTATAATATTCAATATAACAAATGAGATTCATGCCTTCTTTTTTCTTCTTCTATAAATTAAACAAATTTCCTTTTAAGGTTCCTGGTGAGAAACTGTATTTTATACATCCAACTTTTCAATTCCTCTGAAATAATCATTATATAGACATTTTCAATGACTGATGGTGATGCATTTGTTAAGTTAACTTCTTTAAATAAGTCTCGATCGATTGGATTGAACAAAATTTGATTATTTGAATAAATACGTAAAACAAGTTGATAATTACAAATGATATCATCTTTTAAGATTTCACGAATTGTTTCCATTAAATTTTTAATATCATGTAGCAAAAAACCATTAATATTGAAACTTTCAAAAATTGAATTGTAATAAAAAATCATAGCATTATGATTTTCTTCAAGTAAATGAATAAATTGAATCTATCAAAATAAATAAATCAATTGATAAATACAATCAAAGTAATGTTTAGAACTTACTTGATTAATATTATTCTGATTTTGAAATAGATTAAAATAATAATACGTCGGTAGACGAGAAGAAATTTGTTTCATTGCATCTTTAATATATGTACTGAATTTATCATTTTTTTCCTCGATGGTTAACTATAATTTCATATGCAAAAAAATATATATATATTAAAACGATGAAATAAATTCTACTTACAATACGTTTCTCAATTTCAACAAGTTTACGAATGATATTTTCTGCACCTATTGCAGTTTCGTTTAGTTCATCTTCCACACAAAGATTTGCATGAACTACTTTACAATCACCATATTGCCATTGTTTACTTTGGATCATTGTAAATTGAAACATGATTATCAGGAAAATTAACATTGATGAAATTATTTTATTTTAAGTGTTTTGAAAAATATCAGATGAAATATGATAAATGAAATGAACAAATCAACTGGTATGTATATGAACAGAGTTGTTCAAATTTATATCAATCAGAAAAGAAACTACGCCAATCATGACATCATGATAAAATTTTCTTATCTAATTTTATCCAAGTTGGAAACTCTGAACTAATGAGTCAAAATCAATCGTTGACGATTAATTTATTTTGATTTTAATGCTTATCTTAGTCCCAATATAGACAAGAAATAAAAATTATTCAATGATTTTTTTTTGTATTCTATAAATATCTTTTTGTAAATTTGTATTGTTAGTGCGTCGGCATACATATGTAATATGATCATTTTTTTTTGTTCTCCTGTGAAATTTATTGTCCTACTCCCACGGAAATGTATCAACAATTGATGTCATCAGAACTAAATAAAACATCTATAAATAGAATAATATAGACAGAAATAAATACTTTATCTGTTCTTATTTTGCCCATATACTGTTTATATTCTTTTTTAAATGCAAATTCAAGCATTGATTAGTTTCCAAATATAGTTGTGACGCTATTGTTTTATTTTCAACAAGAGTGTGGATGTGGGTGTAAGTGGACATAGGCGTCATTCAAAGCAAGATCAATACTAACATCCACACCTGACTACTTATTTAATACTATAAGGTGCATCAAGTTTCCACTCAAAAGCTTTTTGTTGGTTCTTACAATTGAAACTTTTGTACAGTTCATTAAGAACATTGATCATGTTCGAATCAAATTATCAATCTCATCACCAAACTAACTAATTTAAAATATTAGATGTCCATAGCGAGAATAGACCGAAATATTCAGTTTTGACATGTGAACATGATAATATGGAAACTTGACAATCGAATGTTTTGTACAATCAACTAGTTTTTGAAGTACCAGTTTTTAGAATCTTGTTAACCTTTATTGATGATGTTGAGATCACAACAGGATCAGCTTTTTCGAGTATTTTACTAATATCAAGCAGAGAAAATATGCAATAATCAAAGAAACAATTAGCAACGTTGACAAACTCAAGGATTTTAGCTCTAAATTTGACAATGGTTGTTCTGTAACTACTAAATATGAACCGCGAACTCTCTGAACGTATACTTAGAGCAAAAAAAACTTTGCTATTATTATTTGATTGAAGATCTTTATCTCTATTTGTAATAAATTTATTGTTTTCATATAATATAAAGCCGAATGTACTGATTGTTTAAGAGTCTTTATATAAAAAACTGTCAGCATTTTTGTAATTTTGCTTTTAGCTAACTTACAGAAGTTGATTCCATTGTGATTAGCCATGGACCAATCCCAAACCGTTTGAACTCGATACTATTAAAGCTCGACTCGAAATCGAGTTTAGAAGGTCGAGTTCGAGCCAAGTTCGAGCTCATTAATTCATCCAAATCCAAATACTATTGAGCAATAAGATTGCAGGAAAGTTTATCTCTCTTATTGTTGGCACAAAACAAATTCTCATTGCTGAGACCATAAGTAGAGGAAACACTAATTCCTGGTCAGTTTGTCTGCACTCTGATTGAGGTTACCTATAGTAACTATCTGAAGGCTATCCTAGGGTACCAAAGGTACTATTTTGGGGTCTATCTGTGGTTACCAAAGGTAACTATCTGAGATCGATGCCAGAGTACAAAAAGTACTATTTTTGGACCAATTGTGGGATATCAAAAGCAATATTCTGAGAACTAATTAGTTGAGGTGCCTGAGATAGCTATTTGAAGTCTATCTGGGAGTATGAAAGGTAATATCTTGGGACTATCTAAAGGTATCCAGGTTAACTATCTGAGGACTATGCCAGAGCATCAAAGGTCCTATTGTGGGACGCATCTAGGAGGAATAAAGGTACAATTCTTGGACTCATTCGACGATACTAAAAGCAGTATTCTGCGCGCTATCTGAGATTTATCTGAAGATATTAAAGGTACAATTGCGGGGTCTAACTTAAGTACTAAAATAATATTCTGAGGACTAGCGGAAGTACCTAAGGTGATATTCTGGGGTCTATCCTAGGGTACCAAAAATAATATTCTGAAATCTCACTGGGAGTATCTTAGGTAACTGTGTGAGGGCTACATCAGGCTGTGAAAGCTACTAATATTCGGAGGCCTCTCTGGACGCACTAAAGATAATATTCTGAGACGTATGTGGGAACACCGAAGGTAACTGTTTGGGACTGATTAGACCAACAGAAGATAGCTCTGATAGCACTCGCCTGAAATCTTGAATGTACGTCTGCCGAAGTACCCTATATACCAAAACTTAGGTTTTTATGAAGATATCTAGAAGCACTACAGGTAACTCCAAGAACGCTAGTTGCTACTACAAAGACTGACTTTTCAGAACTATCCTGTTTTAAATAAGTTACTGGCCGAAAAGCGTTTCATCGGTAACTCATGTGCTCCGCTCGCTACTCACAAGGTTAGATGTTATATCTGGCGACTGGCCTAAAAGTTTTCTCTAACATGGCTCGATAGTCTACTGAGAGTTTCTAGTGATGTTCCAGTACACGATGGAAAAAGTTACTTTCAGTACACCCAGCTAAGCCCTACTTTCCTACATCAGCTACCTAGAGAGATGCCACAGAAAGTTATGATTGATAATCTCAGATAGGTCCAAGAATAGTACCTTTGGTACGTTGAATAGCCCACAAGTAGTTATCTTATGCACTGTCGATTAGGTCCCAGAATATTACTTTTGGTACTGCTAGATTGATCCGAGAATATGACTTTGCCTACTCTAAGAGAGGCTTCGAATATGCCTATGGTACGATGACGTGGCTCTCAGATAGTTACCCCACGTGACCTCAGATACGACCCCAACATATTGCCATTGATACTTTCAAATAAGTCCTACAATAGTGCCTTTGGTACCCCTCTTCCCTCGAGAGGCGGCGGAATATTACCTTTCGTACTTCTAGATAGCATTTAAATAGTTATCTCAGGCACTCCCAACTAGTTCTCAGAATATTGCTTTTGACACCTCACAATTGGTCTCAAATAGTACTTTTGGTACTCTGGCATCGATCTCAGATAGTTACCTTTGATAACCACAGATAAGCTCCAAAAAGTACCTTTGGTACCCTAGGATAGCCTTCAGAGAGTTACCATAGGTAACATCAGATAGTTACCTTTGCGGCCTCCAGATAGATCTCAGATAGTTACTTTTACAACTAGAGATGTTATATTCTGCTTACTACTTAATACTTAGTGGAATATGACACCTGTGGTGGGAGTGTCTGAGCAAATGAAGGCCAGATCCAAATTCTCCACATCGAATTACTCTCAAGAAACTGTTTTCCTAAAAACTCGATTTTTATTTGTTTTTACTCTCCCTGCACTCCCACCCCCTTCAACTATGGGTTGTCTGGACGGATGGAGCTCAGCTTCGAGTTCCTTGGCCTCGAAAGCCTCTATGGGCTTGTATGAAATTCGGAATTATCGTTTCTGTGATCGAGAACTACAGTTTGAGTTTTTGATCAATTAGAGTGCAAACAAACTGATCAGGAATTAGTGTTTCCTCTACTTATGGTCTCAGTAATGAGAATTAGTTTTGTGCCAACAATGAGAGAGATAAACTTTCCTGCAATCTTATTGCTCAATAGTATTTGGATTTGGATGAATTAGTGAGCTCGAACTCGACTCGAACTCGAACTTCTAAACTCGAGTTCGAGTCGAGTTCGAGTTTTGAGGTTCGAGTTCAAGTTTATAGGATCGAGTTCGAGTCGAATTGAATCTTACCACGTTTGACTAGAAAATTCGAAGCTGTGCTCGGGATTGGTACATGTCTAATTGTGATCTCAATATCATCAATTAAGGTCAACAAGATTCTAAAAAACTGCTACTTAAAAAACTAGATGATTGTGCAAAACATTCGATTGTCAATTTTCCATATTATCATGTTCACTTATCAAAACTGAATATCTCGGTCCATGTTCGCTATAGGCATATCATATTTTAAATTTGTTAGTTTGGTGATGGAACTGATAATTTCACCCGACTATGGTCAATGTTCTTGATTGACAGTACACAAGATTTCAATCGTCCGAGAAATACGTAAAATGTATTAATTTGCATTTCAAAAAAAGTAGGTATACTTTTAAAACGTCTCTATAATGTTTTCTGAAGTTTTTCTAATTAAATTTCTATTAAAAAAAAACTATCGGAAACATGATTCATTTCAATATGAGAAAAAAAGGCAAATGTGTGATTTTTTTTTCCACAGCAATTGCTTGAAAAACCTGTCAACAATCACAACTAAAATATATATGACTTTTGAATAGTTAAATCTAATAATCTGAAGGTTACATTATTCTATAAGTCTTCCATTGGCAGTTCAGATGCATATCTGATATTTGAAAATTCACACTAGTTATCTCACGGAGTATGTTGTTTTTTGAAAAGATCTATTGAAAACTTTTAAAGCTTGTAATATACGATTCGATGAGTCATCATCTTCTCTTTATAAATACGAAAACCACAACTCTCTATCTTGTGCCTATCGAAAAATATTCAAAAAATTTTCATTCGCTTTTTTGTTGAAATAAGCATTAGTTACTGAATACAAAACGATCGAAAAACAGTATTGTGTATCTTCGTGACGACTATATTCCTTTAATCCGATGATTTCATTGAAAATATCAAAATACTGCTTGACTGGGTCTCAAAATTTTCGACCCAACGAACTCTAGCCAAAGAAAGAGGATATACAGTATATATTAATGTTGTTTCGAAACGAAAGAAAGTGCACTTCACAATTTCATATAGCTTAAAATTTTTGACCTATTGATATATATATGTGAATATCTTATACATAAAACAGTAAATAATTGCAATATTACATTTACATTTCGTTCGATTTATAATAGTTCGTGTGTTTGTTTAAAGTAAGTTCGATGAAACTTAATAAGTATCAACGTAAAACTACA